TATAAGTAAGGAAAGTAAATTACGAAGAAAAATACAACTTTTACCAGATAAAGCCCACTGAGCTATTAGCTTCTCTTTCAGCGACTTGGCCACAGGTAGCCCAACGAAGTGGCTGATATCATCACATGGAAATTTATAGCAGCCCAATACTCTAAAAACGCGTGACGTTGACCCGGAGAAAAATCCACGCTACCACGGGGAGAGAAACACCGCAAACTCCAAATATACAGCAGCAGCAGCAGGCGTCAGCGTCGGGATCGAACCCAATGACCTCCTGTGTACCAGGCGAGGTAGTTAACATCTCATAGCCACCGTGGCGCCCCATCAGTGATTAACTGATCCTGGACCAACCCGTGTGGCCTAGGGTGGTAAATTAAGTCGTTACAGCGTGCCCAATGACCCAACACGGCTTGCGGAGGGAGGACATCATCCAGCAGTGGAATGTCGTTTGTGCCTCTGCTCCAGCGCCCGTGTCACTCGCCTCCCCCGTACGCGAAAGCGGTTTTCGCCACGCCGGTTTTTCGAATGCCGACGATTTTAAATCACGCCACGCCTTGTTGCGGCGCGATTTCCCCGCCCGTAATTGATTTGACGAAACGGCCGTCACTGCCAACGTGGTGTCTGCGGAGCGTTCGGTCATGGTGAGACCCCAATGACGCTCACCCTGCCAGTTGTGGTGAGACCCTGGTGACACTCACCCTGCCGGTCGTGGTGAGGCCCTGGTGACACTCACCCTGCCGGTCGTGGTGAGACCCCGATGACACCCTGCCGGTCGTGGTGACATCCCGGTGACACTCACCCTGCCGGTCGTGGTGACATCCCGGTGACACTTACCCTGCCAGTTGTGGTGAGACCCCAATGAAACTCACCCTGCCAGTTGTGGTGAGGCCCCGGTGACACTCACCCTGCCGGTGATGGTGACATCCTGGTGACACTCACCCTGCCGGTCACGGTGAGGCCCCGGTGACACTCACCCTGCCAGTCGTGGTGAGGCCCCAATAACACTCACCCTGCCGGTCATGGTGAGACCCCGGTGACACTCACCCTGCCGGTCGTGGTAAGACCCCGGTGACACTCACCCTGCCGGTCGTGGTAAGACCCTGGTGACACTCACCCTGCCGGTCGTGGTGAATTTCGTCCCCGCGGTGTGGAACTTGGGATGCCGTGGGGGGGGGGGGTGGGTGTATTGCACGGTGAGTGTGAGTGTGACAGAGACCTTTTTTGTTAGAACATTGTGACCCGTGTGTATTTGCTAGATGGGGAAAGCCTTTTCTTTTGTAGATGCCTTTGCACGTGTGAGTCTGTGAGTGTGAGTTGTGTGTATGTGTGTGTATTGGAATAGATCTTGTTTGAGTGGGTACATATGTGAGTGAGTACCCGGTGACCTGGGGTAGATTCCCGTTCACGACCAACATCGGGATTTTTGTCTTTGTATGTAAGTTAGCCTGTGTGGGGAGCGTAGGCATCACGGTTAGCGCACTGCGCTAGGAGCCTGGCCACCTGAGTTTGATTCCTGCTCACGGCTAACGTCAGTGACGGTTATCTGAACCAATTCTGGGCCATCCCTAGGTCGACTCAGCCTGAAATAAGTACCTGGTGCGATCTGTAAACATCATCACTCGGGACACAAAGGCGGCCAGGCGTGGTGCTGGCCACCCACCCCCTCGTGGACCATACCAATCTTCACAGGTGCTCGCTAAAAGCATTGCCCCAGCAGTCTGTTAAAGGCTATACGGGGGATCTTCGTGTTAGCCCGTCTGAGTTTCTGTGAGCATTTCTGGGTATCCAAGCATGTGTTTGAGTGTGTGCCTGCAGCTAAATTTGTGAGATGATTTGTGTGCATGAGTAATTCTGCGTCCGTTTGTCCCGAGTGAGCGTGCGTGTGCGTCCACATCGTCACGCCCGTCCGTTCATCCCCCTTTGTCTTTCCTGCCGCCACTCATCCCTGTTGTCCCCATCTGTGGGGGGGAGGGGTTGGGGGGGGGGGCTGGCAAACTGCTCCATCATCCCGATAAATTCAGACGCTCGGCGCACACGCCTGCAACTTCAGACTCACTCCATCACACACCCACTGCAGGGGGGAGGGGGCGCACACGGGCATCACCGTCAGTGCCAGAGACAGACGACGAGCAGAAGAGGGAGGAGGAGGAGGGGGCGGAAGAGGAGGAGGAGAGGGCGGACAAGGAGGCAGCGAGGGGTGGACATGGGCCGTGCCCGTGTGCCCATCAATCACGTTTCAATTCGCTTTACGGAGGAGATGCGCACATTCCCCCCCCCCCCCCCTTTCTCCATCGCTCGCGCCTCGTCAGCGGAATGACGGGCGGGGGGGGGGCGGAGGTGGGAGACGAGGGGTGGGGGAGGGGAATACCGTCCGGGGGGGGGGGGGCGTGGCCCAGTTATTGGGGCCTGGGGGCTGGGAGGGACACCGAGCGGAGACAGAGGAGGTAGCCCCCCCCCCCCCGTCTGCCACCCACCCCTGCCCACCCCCGTTTCATTGCTAGCATGAGGGCACATGCCAACTCGGCTGGTACGCTTCATTTACGTAGAGACGTTGCTGAGCCGGTGGCGTTAAGATTTTTTATTTTACTTTACCAGGCAAGGCCCACGGAGTTGTGCAGTAGCTCTTTGTCCGAAGTGGACCTAGCCACAAATGATAGCTCAACAAAGTGGCGTATCATCACGTAGACATTCAATGCAGCCCAATACTCTAAATGCACGTTTCGAAATGTTGAGGGAACAACCGGAGGACCCGGAGAAAAATCCACGGGGAGAGAGATTCACGTCAACGCCAACAACACTAGCGTCAGGGTCGGGACCGAACCCATGACCTCCTGCATACCAGGCGAGGCAGTTAACATCTCATAGCCACCGTGGCGCCTATTCTGGGTTGCAATCTGGGATTCAGCCACCCAACCAACCGACCAAGAACTGAACAGGTCCCTGCAGGGTGGGCTGGTAGGAACATTGGAATTTCGCGCAATTTTATGACATTACGTAAAATTGTGCAAATTGAGAGCGTCTTCCCACCTTTTTGCCCTCAAAATCGTTGAGGGTTCTTCGGACAAATTATACACCCCCAACAGCACGAGATTTTACTTCGTTAAAGTATTGAAAGGGGACGGACGGACGGACGGACACATTAATCTATTGCAGGCTGGTACACTCAGTTTACAACTTGGTTCCTACCAGTATTAAAACTGGCTTCTCGGGTTTAGCGATAGGACGGTCACGTCCACGTCCCTGTTGCAACATCGTCAACATCGCCAAAGCCGGCTGGCTTCTAAATCCCGGTCGGCTTCCACTGCAGTTGTCATAGGGCAAGCAGCTGCGCCTTGCAGCGTGTACAAAAAGATTGTTCCCCACCCCCTTCTCCCTTCGTGTGGGTAAAGAGGCCAATGACAGGGACTTCAGAAATGAGTTCTGTGATATCCACTTCCAGAGGTCGCCTTCTTCAGGGGGTGAAGGACGGCGGGGTCCACCGGGGGGGGGCGGGGGTGGGGGCGATGTCACTGCAGAGGTTCTGAATGAAAATGTCCTGCTTTAGATGACAACAATGAACGCGAGCGGAACAATAGTAATGTAATTGGGGAGGGAAGCGGATGAAGATGAATGTTCAATTTTGCCCTTGGCAGGAAGTCGGGGGAGTGCGCCGTCGGTGTGAGCACTGTGAATGTTTGTGTGGCGTCGGTGGCTGCGCCATTGGCCATGCTCAGCGATGATTCGGGGACCCGGGACGCCCCACGTTCTGTTACAAGGGGTGTGGTGTAGTGTGGTGCGGTGTGTTACAACAGGTGTGGTGTAGTGTGGTGCGGTGTGTTACAACAGGTGTGGTGTAGTGTGTTACATGGTGTGTGGTGTAGTGCAGTGTTACAACAGGTGTCGTGTGGTGTAGTGTAGTGCAGTGTGTTACATGGTGTGTGGTGTAGTGTGGTGCGGTGTGTTACATGGTGTGTGGTGAAGTGTGGTGCGGTGTGTTACAACAGGTGTGGTGTTGTGTGGTGCAGTGTGTTACATGGTGTGTGGTGTCGTGTAGTGCGGTGTGTTACAACAGGTGTAGTGTGGTGCGGTGTGTTACAACAGGTGTGGTGTAGTGTGGTGCGGTGTGTTACAACAGGTGTGGTGTAGTGTGGTGCGGTGTGTTACAACAGGTGTGGTGTAGTGTGGTGCGGTGTGTTACAACAGGTGTCGTGTGGTGCAGTGTGTTACAAGGTGTGTGGTGTAGTGTGGTGCGGTGTGTTACAACAGGTGTGGTGTAGTGTGTTACATGGTGTGTGGTGTAGTGTGGTGCGGTGTGTTACAAGGGGTGTGGTGTCGTGTGGTGCGGTGTGTTACAAAGGGTGTGGTGTAGTGTGGTGCGGTGTGTTACAACAGGTGTGGTGTAGTGTGGTGCAGTGTGTTACATGGTGTGTGGTGTAGTGTGGGCCACTGTTACAACAGGTGTAGTGTGGTGCGGTGTGTTACATGGTGTGTGGTGTCGTGTGGTGCGGTGTGTTACAACAGGTGTGGTGTAGTGTGGTGCGGTGTGTTTCATGGGGTGTGGTGTAGTGTGGTGCGGTGTGTTACAACAGGTGTGGTATAGTGTAGTGCGGTGTGTTACATGGTGTGTGGTGTAGTGTGGTGCGGTGTGTTACAACAGGTGTGGTGTAGTGTGGTGCGGTGTGTTACAATAGGTGTCGTGTGGTACAGTGTGTTACATGGTGTGTGGTGTCGTGTGGTGCGGTGGGTTACAACAGGTGTGGTGTTGTGTGGTGCAGTGTGTTACAAGGGGTGTGGTGTAGTGTGGTGCGGTGTGTTACAACAGGTGTGGTGTAGTGTGGTGCGGTGTGTTACAAAGGATGTGGTGTAGTGTAGTGCGGTGTGTTACAAAGGATGTGGTATGGTATAATGTGGTGCGGTGCTGTCGAGTACACTGTGGTGTCACTTGGTGCTGTTGAGAACACTGTGGATAAACGCGGTGCTGTAGAGTACACCGTGGTATGACGCTGTGCGGTGTATTGCAGGGTCCCCGTGAGCTCCCGTGCTGGGCTGGAGCGGGTGCAGCTGCGGGGCCTCTTCCAGGGGGCAAAGGTCGTGCGGGGACCCGACTGGGACTGGGGCAACCAGGATGGTACGGACAGCCCTGCCTGCCCACTGCTGCGCTGCCCACTGCTGTGCTGCCCACTACTCATTGCCATTTGCCCCCCTGCCCTACTTTGATGCCCTTTCTTTTCCTGCCCTCTTGATTCCCCAGACTTTCTCTGCTCTACGCACCGCACCCCTTTCCCGCTCCCCTGCTCACTCGCCCCCACCCGCTCGCTCACCCAAAGCATCCACCTTCTCCCTTACTCTCACACTTGCTCACTTGCCCGCTCACTCACTGCACGCTCTTACACTCACTCCTCTCTCGTGCACTGTCCTACTCTCGCCCCCACTCTCTTTCACTCAACCACTTATTCACCCACGCATTCACCCACATTCTCACTCACTCACTCCCTCGTCCGCTCACCCACTCACTCACCGGCGCGCTCGCTCACCACCCACTCGGTCAGCCCGCCAGTAAAACATCACCTCTCCGCTGGCTTCCGTTTCCCCGTGACAATTAATTAGTGGCACAGGCGCAAGGAAAGTCACACGTACTCCCCCCACAACCCCTCCCCTCCCCTACCTGTCCCCCACTTCCCCTCTTGCCCACCCTGCTCGCCAATTTAGTAAATTGCAGCCGAGCGGGCAACGATAACGACGCTTGGCTGCTTGCCGCCCCCCCCCCCCCCCCCCACCGTGCGTCACTGCGCAATGAGATTGAGAGCTAATTTATGTTGGCAACCATCTCCACCCGCTCCCTCCCTGCCGCCCCGTAAATTAATCTGAAAGAAAGAGGCATGTTAGAGGAACGGACGTGCGTGTGTGTCCGTGTGTGCGTGCGTGCGTGTACACGCCCAGGCCCGTGCGTCCCCGGGCTGTCTGATGCCAGTCTAAGGCATGATGAGAAAGAGGACTTTGAAGTCACTGCCTCCGCACTCCCCCTCACATGCTCCCCCAAGGGGGGTCTGCACCTTTACCACCTCGACAAGTTACACGATGCAAGTTATGCGTGTTGCGGACACGTGTACACACGCGTGTGGGGAGCGGTAGTGTACCGGTTAGCGCGCTGCGCTATGAACCTGGCGACCCGGGTTATATTCCCGCTCACGGCCAACACCAGTGACGATTATCTGAACTGGTGATGGGCCAATCTAGATTTGAAGCTTTCGTGACTGCAGGAGTCCTTACTCTTCGGTAAAGTCACATAAGTATAAAATAAATAATATACCTACGTGACTTTACCGAAAGAACCAAAGAGTATGGTGATGGGCTCTTGCCTAAGTAGACTCAGCCTCAAAATGAGTACCTGGTGTGTAAACATTACCACTGGGGAGAAAAAGGCGACCGGGTGTGGTGCTGGTCACCCACCGCCTCGTTTGCTATGCTTGCCTTCATAGGTGCTATTCGCTAACAGCACTTACCCCAAGTCTTTTAACTTTGTCATGGAGAAGGCTCATGAAGGATGCTACTGGGCAGTTGGAGGTAGTTGCCCTCCAGCAACAACAGAGGGCAGAGGAATGACGATCACAACAACGAGCGAAGCTCCAGGTGGCTAAAACGCAGTGAGGTGGCATGGTAGGGAGGACAGGTGGTGCATCTGCCAGTCATCCCGGTCTGTCAATGCAAGGCACCTCAGCCTGTCCCATAACCTCCTGTCAGCGAGCCTTCGACGCTTCACTTGGCCTCAAAGGGAACTTGTGTTTGTCTCAAGCGGTGACGTCACTGCCACTTCGTGGTGAATGGCGGCTGTTGTTGTCATCATCGGGAGGTTTAGTGTAGGTATGCGGACTGCACTATAATCCCGGCCACCCGAGTTCGATTCCCGCTCACGGCCAACACTAGTGACGATTATCCGAACCCGTCCTGGGCCCTCCCCTGGGGCGATTCAGCCGTCAAATTAGTATGGTGTGTAAACATCAGCACTTTGGGAGACAAAGGCAACCGGGCTTGGTGCTGGCCACCCACCCCTTCGTGTGCCATGTCGGCCTTCGTAGGTGCTGCTACTCGTTTGCCAGCAATTGCCCCGGCTGTCTTTTCAGGCTCGATGCCATTTTGGGGGTGGGGTGATGGTGGCACGGGACCTTTGTGTTTGTCTGCAGGCGGCGATGGGAAGCACGGCAAGGTGAACGAAATCCGGGGCTGGGACGCCGAGTCGTGGCGCAGCGTTGCCTGCGTCACCTGGGCCAACGGCTCCACCAACGTGTACCGCGTCGGGCACAAGGGCAAGGTCGACCTCAAGTGCATCGCCGACTCCCACGGGGGATACTACTTCGCTGAGCACCTGCCCCTGCTGGGTACGGCGACACCTCACCATTTATTTGCTGTTATTTATTTGACCCCAGGGTAAGGCGCGCCACTGAGCCACGTAGCTCTTTTAAAGAAGCGACCTGCCTGTCACAAGTGTATAGGTCAACGAAGTTGGCTCGTCTTCATCACATGGAAATGGATAGCAGCAGCCAGACGCTCTGCACGTGTGACGTTGATACTAAATGTGGAGGGGAAAAACCGGAGGGCCCGGAGAAAAATCCACGCGACCATTGGGAGAGAGACACCGCAAACTCCAAATATACAGCAGCAGGTGTCAAGGTCAGGATCGAACCCACGATCTCCTGCGTACCAGGTGAAGTAGTTGACATCTCGCCACCGATGAGGCGGAGATGGGGGGGCCCTGGCCCCAGTGATGCGGCCCAGTGGTCGTGCCTTCCACACGTTGGGTTCAAAATAATAATAAAAATGATATATATTAGTATTGTTTTACTATGTAAGGGTTTTCTTCTGGTTCCTCCTCGCATGTACAGTAATAATAATACTACAGTAATAATCAACATCGTTAATTGGCTGAAAATCCCCGATGTAGCAGCAGGACACTCCTGAAATCAAGATCAGAATCTTTATTTAGCCTGAAGTGCCGATGTGCTATGAAGCTCTTTTTCAGAGATGTCCAGTAGGGGTTACAGATGTCCAGTAGGGGGTCACATATGTCCAACAGGGGTGGGTCAGCGAGTTATATAGAGTTCAACCCACTCTGTGGGGCTCTCCTGGATATATAAATTGATAAATAATAATCGTTACATGAACAATATCAGTATTAAACAGGGGCGGAATACATGGCCAGGTGGTGGCGTGGTCGGCACTTGTTGCAGAGGTTCGCAGTTCGAATCCGGCGGGCCGCCCTTGTTAACACTACGGCTGCGTGTTAACCGTGATGACGGCACTATGACGCGCCGCCTGCTTCGCTCGCACGTCAGCGTCGTTCGAAACGAGCAGCAGCAGCGGGTCATCGTGTGCTGCCATCATGGTCCACATTTGGCAACTTTGAAAAACCACACCGCAAATCGCTGTGATTATGCACGGCAGCAGCATCGCCTCACCACCACCACCCATCCCACCGCAAATCTCCTGCAGCTTACAGTACGTTGCCTTCTTAGGTGGCACTAGCTGCATGTGGTGCGTGAAGTGGGGACAGCAGCATGGAGACGCACGGGGGGGACGGCATGACTGACACGAGTGCCGCGCGCGTCATGCATATTGTCACGCATGTTGTCATGCATGTTGTCACGCATGTTGTCACGCATGTTGTCACGCATGTTGTCACGCATATTGTCACGCGTGTGGCGGTGCCCAGGGGAGCCGGCTGAGGTGCGGGGCCAGGAGATGCAGGAGGAGCGCGCCTTCCAGGTGGGCGACAAGGTGAAGTGCCTCCTGGAGGAGGACATTCTGAGACAGATGCAGGACGGACACGGTGGCTGGAACCCCAAGATGGCTGAGGTGGGGGATTCGTGTGGACAAAGCCGGGAGGCCAGTGGTTGGCTCCCGCATCTCTTTTGTGTGTCTCTGCGTATTTTCGTGTGTCTCTGTGTGTCCCTGATGGTCTGGATTTCTTCGTGGGTCTTCGTATCTCTCCGTGTGTCACTGATGGTTTATTTGTATCTGTGTGTCTCTGATGGTCTGGTCCACTGCACGGACTTAATAATAAACGTTCTGTCTCCACTGCGTGCGATAAGATTTTGGACGTCTCTGCGTTTCTCATGGTGTGACTGCCGTCCTGTGTGTGTGTGTCTCGCTGACAACACCTGCCCCAACAATCTGTTAAGTCTATACGGGGATCGCGTTATTTATAAATGTGTCGTAACTCTCCACCACCCGACACGGCCAATCAGCAAAAAAGTGTCACGTTGACAAAAGACAAATAGTTCACTACTTTAGCCCACCGGTGTGTTGAGTGAATCCACAACATTTACAGTTTGAGTACGACGTTTCGCTGGTAATTACATCCAGCATCATCGGGCAATTCGCCAGAATGGTAAAGCCCTCGCTTGCTCCCAGTCTTAAATAGAGCAGCATGGTGACGTCATCATTACTAATCATAACCATTGACCAATTACCAATCGATTATATAATTACAATACCCCCCCCCCCCCGCCTCAAATCACTGCGCAATGATGACGTCACCCTGCTGCTCTATTTAAGACCGGGAGCAAGTGAGGGCTTTACCATTCTGGCGAATTGCCCGATGATGCTGGATGTAATTACCCGCGAAACGTCGTACTCAAACTGTAAATGTTGTGGATTCACTCTTCAACACACCGGTGGGCTAAAGGAGTGAACTATTTGTCTTTTGTCAATGTGACATTTTTTTGCTGATTGGCTGTGTCGGGTGGTGGAGGGTTACGACACATTTATAAATAACGCGATCTAACCCAAAAACCTTTATTATGAATAATATTGGTCGCGAAAGCCTACGTGTTAAACTATTCGGGGATCTTTGTCTTTGTTTGTGTCTCCAACTGTCCCTGCGTATATCCCTGTGCCGTGCGACTTGTCCCCCTGCCCCCGTGTGTCTCCTGCTGTCCCCCTGGGTGTTTCCAAGTTGTCCGTACATGTCCCGTTGACTGTTGCCCCCTGCCCCGTTACCCCGTGTCCCCGCGTGTCCCTGCATCTCCGCGCTAGTTCATCGGGAAGGTCGGCACGGTGCACCGCATCACGGAGCGAGGAGACGTGCGCGTAGAGTACGGGGGAACCAAGATGAGGTGGACCTACCACTCGGGGGCGCTCACCAAGGTGAGAGACAGCGGGTACACACAAACGACAAAGATCCCCCATGTCGCCTTTAACAGACTGTTGGGGCAAGTGCTGTTAGCGAGCACCTATTCTGGCTGCCACTGCACACTAGGGGGTGGGTGGTCAGCGCCACACTCGGCCACCTTTGTCTCTCCAGTGGCGATGAGTACACACCACCCTCGGTACTCATTTGAGGCTGAGTAGACCTAGGGGAGGTCCAGGACTTGTTCAGATATTTGTCACTCATGTTGACCGTGAGCGGGAATCAAACTCGGGTCACCGGGTTGGGAGCACGGCACGCTAACCGCTACACTACCACTCCCCACACTGGTGGTGGGTTGGCCAACACCACGAATGGCGATATTTACATATTTACACATCGTACCGGGAACGGTTCTGATATTAGTAACTGCCGTTGAACTCGGGTCGACGGGTTCGTTAGCTCAGCACGCTAACCCGCTACACTACCGCTCACCACATACACAAAGACGAAGATCCCCCGTTTAGCTTTAACAGACTGTTGGGGCGAGTGCTGTTAGCGACCACCTATGTATGTGTAGTAGTTACTTCAGAGACACTAATAGTAGGAGGCACACAAGTTTTCTCTACACGTCCACAGTACAGGGGATAACTACACACGGGTCAGGACAGCCGGCACACTGCCTGACCCACAACGCCGAGGAGGTGAAGATGGGGACGAAGACTTGTGTAGACGACGGGTTCCATTCCAAACGACAGCTCCGACTCAGCGTCGGGACCTCCTTTTTATCTTCCCCAGCGTGGCCTGGCTCTGCCCTCGGCCACGCCCCCTTCTGGAACCTACCAGAAGGTTCTGGGCTCCGCTCCACGTGTCCCCTCTTGTCACCTTTACCCTACATCCCTTACCCCGGCCTATCATGTGCCCTGCTGGCAGACCAGCTGCTGTGTCCTCAGATCCCCCTTCTCTGCCAGCAACCAGCGCTACACGCTCCAGTGGCACATTTCACCTGCCCTGCTGGCAGACTGGGCTACTACACCCACAATCTCGCTCTCTACCAGTAACCAGCTACGCGCCCTAGTAACCCATTCTATGTCACTACATACGTTTGTATGTTGAACTTCTTTCGCACCGTACGTAGCCAAACATTTTAATCGGAGTTTTCAATCAAAATTTAAAAGTGCATAGCTAAATTGGCGTTCGAGATGGTCGCAGAAGCGGATCTGAAATTGCACGATGCAGTCACCGTCTTTGTTCAATGGGTCGCCAAATACCGCTGCAATGATGACCGGAGTTCACGTGATGAAGACCGGCATGGCACACAGGAGGGTGAGTGGCCAGCACCACGCCCAACCACGTTGGTATCCATAGTGGCGATACTTACACATCCCTAGTGGTGATCGCACCAGGTACTCATTTGAGGCTGAGTCGACCTAGGGAAGGCCCAAGACTGGTTCAGATAATCGTCACGGGTGTTGGCCGTGAGCGGGAATCGAACCCGGGTCATCGGGTTCGTAGCACAGCGCGTTATCCGCTTACACTCTCACTCCCCACACGTGCAACAACAACAACAACCGCCATTCGCCACTAAGTGGCAGTGACGTCACCACGACACTTGTGCCAGGCTATGTGCACCCTGAGGCCACGTGAAGTGTCGAACGCCCGCTGGCAGGAGGTCACGGGGCAGACCCAGGTGCCACGGGTCGACTGACAGAGATGATTGGCTGATGCACCACCTGTGCCCCCTACTGTGCCAACCTGCTGTGCTTTAGCCACCCGGCGCTCCGCTCGTTGTTCTGAGCGTCGCTCCTCCGCCCTCCGTGTTGTTGGAGGGCGACTACCTCCAACTGCCCAGTAGCGTCCTTCACGAGCCTCCACAGAGGCCGATCTTGACACTGCTGGTACCAGTCATCGGCAAGTCCACTCAGCTCCACGTCCTCCTGTACCACATCACTCCATCTCTTTTCTAGCCCATGCTGCGCCCGCTTAGCCCCCTCGATCCGGCCGAACAAAAGTTGTTTCGGCATGTGGTGGCTGGGCATGTGGGCTACATGACCCAGCCATCGCAGCCTTCCCCGCCGGAGGAGCTCACCGATGGGACCTTGCCCAGATCTTTCAAGGATTTGTGAGCTCCTCACACAATCCAGTCTGGTTAAACCCAGGATGGATCGTAGGCAGGCCAGCCTAAATGTTTCTAACCGGCGAAGATGTTCCATTAGGGGGGTCCATGTTTCGCAAGCGTAGAGAAGGGAGGGAATGACCGTGGCTGAGAAGACCTGAAGATTAGTGCAGAGCGACAGACCAGGTAGCTTCCACACAGCGTTACGCAACCGATGAAAATATATTGCCGCCCGACTGATTCGGAGTGAGACCTCTGCTGTTAAACTGGAGCCAGTCATAAGCACACTGCCCAGGTATGGGAAACTCTCCACTCTCTCCACAACTGCCCCATTACCGATTGGGAGTTGTGGAGATGGAATGTCCGATGGTACAAAATACCCAGGCAGGTGCTTAGTTTTGGTGGGGCTGATGGTAAGGCCCCACCTCTTAGTGGCACGCTCCAGTCTCAGCAGCAGCGTCTCCAACTCCTCCTCTGAATGAGCAGCTATTACCAAATCATCAGCATACATAACGTGGTTGAGCAATAGGGAGCCATCCCTTGACCGCACCTGGGCATCGATCAGCCTCCCATTATATCTGTACCATATGGAGATTCCCCCGGTACAGCTATTGAAGGCTTCACGAACTACGTGGTCAAAATAGATGTTAAATAATGTGGGAGCCAGAGGACATCCCTGTCGCACCCCAAGGTGTACAGGGAATGGCTCTGACTCCCGGCCACGTAGTTTTACCCGGGCCCGCTCACCATCATGAAGGTCCTAATGATTGTGAGCAGAGGGTCAGGTACTCCAAAAGCACGAAGAACAACCCAGAGCCCAGGCCTACTGATGGTATCATAGGCCTTGACCAGGTCAATAAAGCAGAGATGTAGGTCTTGTTGGAATTCCCTATACCTCTGCTGTAGCAGACGGACAGAAAATATGGCATCTGTGCAGGACCGCCCTTTCTTGAAACCGCATTGGGGCTCCGCAAGCCTCTCCTCAGCGTGCCTGACAAGGCGATGTTGAATAATCCTTGCCAGGACCTTTCCCGGCACACTGAGGAGTGAGATGCCCCTGTAGTTGTTACAGTCTGTGCGGTCCCCCTTCTTAAAAAGGGGGACCACCAGGGCATCCTTCCAATGCTGCGGAACCCGTCCAGTGGTCCAGACTGTTGTTATGATGTCATATAGGGCAGTCTGTGCACAAACGCCGCCCTCCCTCAGCATTTCGCTTGGGAGATCATCTCTGCCCGCTGCCTTTCCTGGTCTCAGACTCCGGATCGCCTTCAGTACTTCCTCAACAGATGGCACCTCAGCCAGCCACTCACAGGGGATGACTTCTTCCAATATTTGAGGCACCGCAGCCTCAGCAGGGTCATCATCACTTTGTGCCACGATGTTTTCCTGGCTGAGGGATTTTCCCTCCCCGAGGACCTCACAGAAATGATCAGCAAATCTGCAAACCTGTTCCTGGGGTCGGAGATTGGATCACCGTTTTTTCCCCTAATGATGGTAATAGGTGTGGCGCTGCAGGTTACTTTTTGATGGAGTTAAATAGAGATTTGTGATCACGGGCCACTAAGGCAGACTCCATCTCCTCAGCAACCCGTGACCACCACCCATCCTTGCAGCGCCTCACGGCTCTCCGAACCTCCGAGCGAAGGCTGTGGTAAGCCTCCTCATTCTCTGACGTGGGATTCTGTAGCCGATGACAGTGGGCCTGTCGCTTTTTCTCAACCATCCTGAACACCTCCTCTGTCAGCCAGGGTCTCTGGGGAGGTCTGGACCGCGTACCCAAAGCAGCCATTGCAGCTGCTTGAGTCACAGTCCTAAACCTCGCCCATTTACCCTCGACATCAGGAGTCGGGGACGATGCCAATCCCAGCTGCAAGCGATGATGAAATTCTCGCTTGCAACTTTCATCATAGGCCACTATGAATTTGAATGGGGTCCTGGGTGTACACCCACCACCGGAGTGCATCTTACAGATGACAAGTCGATGATCAGTGGGCAGATCAGCTCCACGGTAGGTCCTGGTGTCAAGGACATGGGCTCGCCTCCGCTGGTCCGTCACTATGTAGTCCAGCAGATGTTCTTGCTTGGACCCGGCATGCATCCATGATGTTGTGTGGATGCGCCGATGCCGGAACAGCGTGTTGGTAATTACAAGCCCATGGGCTGCACAAAAATCTAGCAGCCTCCTACCATTGTTATTGAGCTGATCTGGCCCATGCCCTCCAGTCACTCCAGACCAGGTGCCAGTATTATGACCAACTCGGGCATTGAAGTCACCCAACATGATGACTCTATCCCGAGGGGCCACTTTAGCCAGCACCTGTGACAGAAGGTCATAGAAGGCATCTGACTCATCGGCTTTGCCTGCATCCCTCCACGGATGTTGATCTTCGGTGGGGGCATAAGTAACCATGACCACCATTCCTCTTACAGCTTCCCACACCTCACCGCCACGCTCCCACGCCCCCTTCATTCTTTTGTTCAAAAGAAGAGGCACACCCTGTTGTTTGGCAGTCTGCTGCCCCGAGTAGAGGACTGTCCACCCCTCATGGTGGCAGGAGCCAGAGCTGGTCCACCGGACCTCCTGAATGCCGCATAGATCCAGGCGGTACCGGTCCAGCTCCCGACAGAGGAGTGGCAGCCTCTCCTCCGCAGTGAGCATTCGAACATTCCACGTGGCCACCCGTAGTGGCTTTTCGTTGTTTCTGGAGGAGCCCCGAGGGTAGATATTCAATCTCCTGGCTCCGCCAATTGGGTTTTGGCAAGGAGACGTCATAGACGCCTGGCCCCCCAGGGCCTCCGGCACAAGCTTATTAGTTACATATTTCAGTTTAACTCGTGGTTTAGTGGTAATCAATTGAAAGTGGAGGGGTTACCAGCCCCTCGCACCCGTCCAGAGCCCCCGTT